GTCTGAGATTGGGGGGAGTTTGTGGGGCATTGAAACTCCCATCCCTGGGGTGCTGAAGACAAGCACTCTGCCAAGAATGAGAGGGAGGAAACAGTGAAGTGTGAAAGGTGTGAACCACCAATGTCTCCGTGCTCGGTAGGTGTAGTGTTGAAAGCTTGCACAGGGGAGCTAGGCTACTTGGGCTCAGTCTAGCTCTCCCACTGACTACTTCTCTGATTAGGAAACGTTCTCCTCTATCTGCCTTAACTTGCTTGTCTGTATATTGGGCATAATCCTTGCACCTACCCCACATAGACAGTGTGAAATTTAAAAGGCACCTGTGGAGAGCACATGCAAGGACTGGTACACAGAAAATTGGCAAAAAATGCAAGCTATTAGCAATCTTATTGCTGTTATTACTATTTTCAGAGTGCAAAGAAAGGAGAGGAATAGGGAAGCAACAGAAGGAGAGGGGTTCCCAACACCCAGAAACCCAGTGTAGCCCACCTGCTCTCAGCTCATGGCCACAATTTCCTACTCCAAACCTCACAGCACCCTGTAGGGAAGCAGAACTAGCATCATTTTTAAACAAACAAATGGGCTCAGACAGGCTGAGTGAATCATACAAACTTGCACAACTAATAAGGTGGTAAAACCTAGATCCAGTTGTAAGACTGAGTTTTATACAGTATTGTAAAAGAAAATTCCACTGTTTTTACACCAAGAAGTACTCTTCATCACTCAAGATAGTCTTCGATTCACATTAATTCATAAAAGAAAACATTTTTCTACATATTTTCCCATTTATATGGGGTACAAGTTGAATTCTGTTACATATATATATTGTATAATGGGCGAGTCTTGGCTGTAAGTGTACCCATCACCTGACTAGCATACATTGTACCCCATAGGTAATATTTCTAATATATTTGAAAAAATGAGAGATACATAAGCTCCAAATTTCTCAGTAGTCTGTATAGTGGAATAATGGATGATTTTCTTTGATTTTATTTTTTACATTTGTTTTGTTTTCTAAGTGTCTATGTGTTGTTTAGTATTCAGAGGAAAGTCAATTTTATCACAACAAAAGAAAAAAATGATGTTGTTGCGGCCGCTGCTCAGCCCATCCAGGGCCCTAGAGACACTCCAGCCTGTCCTTTTGTGCTTGCATGTGTGTGTCCGTGGAAATCTGCAGACTGGATGAATGGTGAAGAGGAGGCGCTCCTGCTAATGTAACTGGATCCCAGCTCTCTTCTGGGAGGACACTTATACTTGATCCCACCCTTCCCCAGCAACCTTAAGAACAGGTCCCCATCATTGCCACCATCTGAGAACATGGGAGGGAAGTCTATTGCCTGGGGGGAGCTGGACATGCATCCCTCAGGTGTGTAGCCTTTCCCCATTCCTGTCTTGTCCTGGTGCCAACTTGCATGGCCCAGGTGAGAGTCTCGGTCAGAAAATCCTCAGTTCCAAAGAACAGAATTGCTCTGGGGTGGGGTGTGGATGCTCACACCTATGATCCTAGCACTCTGCAAGGCTGAGGCAGGAGGATCGCTTGAGGTCAGGAGTTCGAGACCAGCCTGAGCAAAGCATAAAATATTAGCCAGGCATAGTGGCATGCCCTTGTAGTCCAGCTACTCAGGAAGCTTCAGCAGGAGGATCACTTGAGCCTAGGAGTTTGAGGTGGTATTGAGCTATGATGATGTCATGGCACTCTAGCCCAAATGACAGAGTTAGACTGTCTCAAACAAACGAACCCCCAAGGAGAGGGGTGTGTGTGCTCCCACTTGATGGGCACAATGTTAGGATGTATCACACACCTCTTGGGGAACGAAAACAATTAGAAGATGGACTGTACCTGACAAATGAACCATTGTAACCTAATTCCTTGTACCTCCAATTACCTGAAACAATAAAAATACCCCCCCCCCAAAAAAAAACAAGAACTTATCTGGTTAAGACCAGACTGAAAATAACTCATGAGTCCAAGAATCTCTGATCCTCTGATGGGAAGGATCAAACATTCTGCCTCCTGTTTGAATTCATTCTTTCTGTGCTGGTTCTTGGTAAGCTGTTGTTTTTAGCCAACAGTGTCCAGCCTCAACTCTAAGCTTCCTTTAGATACTCAAGGGGAACAAGTTCATGTAATCTTTCCTCTCATATTCAGAGAACAGAAAGAGATAAGATGTCAAAACTCAGGCCCAGTGACTCAGCTGGGAGCTCCTTCCTGCTGTTTCTTCATTTTGTAATGAGACTGGCTCTGATAACAAGAAACTTCCCCAGTGGTGAAGACATGCTGGGTGCCTTAGAAAGGCCTCCCATCTCTGTGTGTCACAGCAGGAGCTGGAAGGTGCCGGGTGATGAGTGCTGGGTGTGCTTGGGAAGACTGTGAGACAAGGAGGGTGAAGCTAGCAGTAGGCAGAGCCCTGAGACTTGACTTTTGTTGTTATTATTGTTTTTGCTCAGAGTTTGAATGTTTTTATTATGGTAAAGATACATATACTGTGAAGTGTACTGTTTTGACCATGTTAAAGCATACGAGTTTTGTGGCACTCAAGATGTTCAAATCATGATCCAGTCATCACTACCATTCATCTCTGGAGTTTTTTTCTGTTATTTTTTTTTCTTTTTTAATTTTTTTTTAATTGACACATACAAATTCTTTATGTTTATTTTGTACAGCACAGTAATGTATGCATTGTAGAATGGCTAATTGAGCTCATTAACTTATGCATACCTCATATACTTATTTTTTTTGTGGTGAGAACACTTAAAATCTACTCTCTTGTGATTCTCAAGAATATAACATGTTGTTATTAACTATACTCAGAACTATGTCATGTTGTGTGATAGATCTCTTTAACTGACTCCTCCAAACTAAAAGAAATTTGGTATCCTTTGTATTTTGTATCTCCCTAACTCTACTACACCCCCAGAAGTCCCTGCAAACCACCATCCTACTCTCTGCTTCTGAGTTCAGTGTTTTTAGATTCCACATGTGAGATCTTGTGGTATTCGTGCCTGGCTTGTTCCACTTAACGTAACACCCTCTAGGATCATCCATGTTGTCACAAATGGTAGTATTGCCTTCTTTTGAGAAGCTGAATCATATTCCATCGTGTAAAAACAGTGACTCTCTCTAGCTATGGGTTCCACATCTGTGGATTCAACTTATTGTGGATCAGAACTATTTGCAAAAAATTAAATGAGCAGTTGTGTGTGTAACGAACCCGTGCGTTTTATTCTTATCATTATTTTCTGAACAATGCAGTATGACAACCATTTTCATAGCATTAAATTTTAGGGGATATTCTAAGTAGAATGTTCATAGGTTCCATGCAAGTATTACATCATTCTGTATAAGGGACTTGAGCATCTGTGGATTTTGATAACCTCGTGGGGGGCAGGAGGAAAGGGTCCTGGACCAAATCCCCCTTACATACAGAGGGATGGCAGTATACAACATTTTCTTTATCTGTTCATTCATTGATGAACACTTAGATTGATTCCATATCTTGGCTATTGTGAATAATGCTGCAATTAACATGGAAGAGCAGATATCTCTTCAACATATTGAAGCCATTATACTCTAGCCTGGATGACAAAGTGAGACGCTGCCTCAAAAAAACAAAAGCAGAGTTTCTTCCCCAAGGGAACACATACCATTGGGAGGTGACTCTTTGCCCTGTTGGTTCCAGACATCAATGAGTGTATGTCACCCAGGAGGATGGACTGCGGAAAACTTGCAGACTGCTACAATGTGGAAGGGAGCTACTACTGCGCGTGCATCCCAGGATTTGGGCTCACTTCTGGGGCTAAACGTTTCCAGAATAAGAGTGAGAACACATGTCAAGGTAAGCTCTACCCATGTCCTCCATCTCCCCATTCATGAGACCTGGGTTCACCAGAACTATTCCTACAGCATCCAGTAGAGCAAGACCCTGGTGACACCTGGGATGCCACAGTCTGAAACAGGACAAGTGTTATGTACCTGTCCCACTGGCACAGAGAGGGAAGGGTAGCATAGAGACTGAGGATAGACTCTAGGATCAGTTGCCCAGGTCCAAATCCTGGCTTTTCTACACAGTAACAACATGACATTAGCAAAATCACTATTTCTCTTGGACCCTTGGTTTACCTATCCATAAAATGAGGGTGACAATACCAGTGCCTATCTCCTATGCTCTGGGAGCATTAAGGAAATTGTAAGTTCTTTTAACAGAGTCTGGCACATAGTAGGTTCCATATGCATCTTAATGTTTCAGAAATTTATTATGTGATACATCCTTTTTCAGATTTTCCCAGTCAATCCTTTTCCCAGGATTTTCCCTGTTGGGGGCTATTTCTGGGGCTGGCACTTAGAAGAAATCTCTTTGCACCCAGCCTGCTCCATCCTTGCCATGGTTTTGCCCCACAATGTGTTGCCATCCCAGGAGAAGACATGCCCCCATGCATCACAAGGCTTTGCCCCATTTCCAGGTGAAACCATTTGGGCAAGCAAAGGAGCTTCAGGCATCTGTAAGGTCAAACGGGAGCCAGAAGGAGGTGG